AGGCTGACTCTGATTGACTCTCATGTGACGCTTATTCACTCACGCCAACGTCACCCTGGCTCACGGACATTCGCGGGCCTACAGCCGGTCTTGTATAGGAAGGGCGCATATAACATTCAGCCAATTTGTAGTCGGTCAATTTCAAATACAAGCTTCATAGCAGAGCGCCAGACGTATGGAGTTGATTTTGCTTGCTGCTGATGGACTGTCTGCAGACGGCCCTCAGGCTTTATTTACTTGAATGAACATCTGTTTACAACCGAGCGGAAAAAAGACGTTTTGTTTTCATTTGTGCATTTCTAGACTTTGCTTTATCGCGCAGATAATATCAATTTGCTTGTCAGCGAGAAGTACGCACTCGAGACAAACATGGCTTGTTTGATCAGTCAATTGGAATTTGTCGACGGTGAAAAAACCTTCCTAACGCTGAGAATTTATCTAATTTCCGTCTGGTTGGTAGCTTTATTTTCCTTCTTTCAGAATTTTTGAAAAATGGATGCACATTTTCGGCTCAAATGCTAGTATCAAGATGAGTTAATTAAAAAAATCTCCTTTGCTCAAATCATAATGAGATGTCAACTAATTTGAGAATTAAAGATCAGTAATATTAGACTGCGACACTGCGCTGCGTACTACAGGGCGATTCATAGAAAGACGGTCGAAAAAAGAAATGATCTATCAAAACAGGAATGATACTGACAAATGTTATTGACCATGCTCTTCCTCTCGTGAAACTGTCGTGTTTCGGAATAGGTGGCAAATTTTTGACTTTTATATCCTCTTACCTAAGCCCTCGCACTCAACGAGTTAAAATTTCTAATGCTTTTTCCAACCCCACATTTTTGAAAAGCAGACTTATTCAGGATAGTGTACTCGACCCGCCTTTATTTTGCCGTTTTGATAATGATGTGCCCGATTCATGTCAGCATGGTTAGCCCTTCACGTATGCCGATTATCTGAAAGGTGTATAACGATACAAGCCGGCAGATCGGGATTTCGTGCTTGAGCTCCTAAAGGAACAACCTATAGGACATCGCTTAGTGGTGCTACACACGGCGCCGTTCTCTTTCTTGACATAAATGCCCAGTCAAGGTGGTTGGTTACGACCACCAACCTTAACTAAGTATTGACGGTCACGCCTTAAATATGCCTGGGGCTATTAAGGATCTGGGTTTAGCATAATCCAGTATCTCAAATCTTTCGGAGCACTGTGCACTGATAGTATCCAACTGGCGATATTAAAATGTGCCTTTATAACATGTACGGTCGACGTTGCCTGGAATACTGTTCGTTTTTATTTAGCCTCTAACTGGCTGCTGAGTGAAAAAAGGAGAGAATCCGTCCAACATTTATTTACGAATAAAGTTCTAAACCCGGAACACCGACATTTGTCTTATAAAAAACGTTGCCGGCCTACAGGCGTTGCTCCTTTATGGTTTCGTAGATTACAGAAAGGATTGTTTGTGCTACTTAAACCTTTATATAGTCGCATCTTTAACTCAATCACTACTTTAAGACATCTTGTGCACCCCCGACGTAACAGACACCGTGAGGACTTTTTATTTCTTTCTCTTGAACGTACCGTTAAATATCGTCAGTGCTTTTCTGTAATTGCAGTTGTTATTTGGGATAAACTAGTCAGAAATGTGAAAAATCTGCAAACGTTTTCTTCATTTAACAGAACTATTATTTGATATTTGCATTCACAAAAACTCTCACAAATTTTGGGAGCTGAATCGACTGATCGAACTTACCGTAGCGATGGAGTTCGTGGTTTCCCACCTCTATGGCCGGTCTCATCAAAGCCAATTTCTTTAGCCAACAGTGACTGCTGTTCCTCGAACCTTCTGTTTTGATCATCCCCAGCTTCAGGAAAAGAATTGACGACTGATAATATCCGATACCGTGCAACCTCTCCCTTCTTGACTGTCGGCATTTTGTAAATAACCCACAAATTTCGGGGGCCGAATCCACTGATCGACTTTACCGTAGTGCCAGCGTTTGCGGTTTCTGATCTCTATGGCCGGTCTCATCAGGGACAACTTCTTTAGCCAACAGTAACAGCTGTTCCTCGGCGCTTCTGTTCGGCCCAACCGCACCTTCATGAAACGAATTGGCGACTGATAATATCCGGTACACGGCAACCCCTTCTTTCTTGACGGTCTGCATTTTGTGGTCAGCAGTTTTTTCTCCTGAACCCTCCAAACCATAAAAACGACCATCAATTTTATATGTATTACTTTTTGACAGGAGTTTTTTCACTGCTATCCGGATTTGTGATTAAAGCTTCCCCGGCAAGGCCTAAAAACTGGCATTTAATGCAATTATTATTATTAATTTTA